ATATGTAATTGTGCCTGACCATTTTCTAGAGAGATAAGGGCTGGAAAAAAAAAATCAATCGAATTCTTGTCCGAATACTTCCTGGGTCATTCCTGGGGAATGCTTAAAAAGCCCCATACCCAGGGCCAAATTCATCCTTCCATATCAAATTATTTTTTAAACAGTTGCTAAATTGATATCAAGAGCCAAATTGATTGCGCCATGCATTTTCTAGACGATTAAACAGATATAAATTGACCGTAATTTATCGAAATTTTGTTGAAATGTCATGTGATGATATGTTTTTTTTTGGAATTTTCTATTCCAAAATTGTGCAGACGGAACTTCAGGGTGCACTCGAAAATGCCAAAATATTGAAGTGCCGCTGCCAATATACAATATTATTTAAATGAAATATAAATCAAACAAAAACATTAGTATTTTGGGAAATCCTTGGTTTATTTAATTTTTGCCTAGAAAATGCCTGAATATGAAAGGGTCGATAATATTATTATTTGGGGGAATTCCTTGGATTATGTTTTTTTGAAATGGATTTTTAGTTCCTGGGGGACCAATTTGAAGTTTTCTGGGGTTCCCTGGGGAATATAGGTTGCCGGTTTCAGGAAGGGCTAGGCAATTCATTTTCTAGGGAAAACACGACTTATTTTGGGTCTTGAATTTTATCATATATTTCTTTGGTTCTTTGACTGGTGTAGCTTCATGCTATTCCTGATATTTTCTAGAGAACAAATCGTGAGTTGATGGTGAATTGCACTTCCATGTGCCTATTTTCTTGAAAATTTGTACATATAGAACAGGCAGAAACATTTCCAGAAAATGATTAGAACAGGCCCCTAAGAACATCGATCTTTATCGTTTTTTTCTCGTTTTCCAGGCTTGTGACTTGTAACTGTTCCGTTAATTTGTCTCGCATATGTGAACCCCCCAAATGGCAAGGTTTTTTTTAACCAAGGCATATTGAATTATTTTCTAGAAAAAATGTTGTTTAACAGCTGTACTTTCTTGAAACGTTTGGCAAGACATGACAACACACATGTTAAATTGAAAAAAATATAGAGACCTTGGCCAATCTTATTTTTATCACAATTAATTTTCAATAAATTTTGGGCAGAGGAATATATTACTTACGATGGTATTCGATTACAGATCAATTTCTGGATTTTTTGGTGGCAGAAATAATTCAATTTGATGTTTTCTGGTAATTCCTGGGGAATATGGATTACCTGGCTTAGTAAGGATTACATAATTCATTTTCTAAAGAAAACATTGTTCATTTTTGGTCCTCCATTTTTAAATTATTTTTTTTAAGAAAAAAATTAATTGTTTTTATGATGGCATTACAGATTATTTTCTAGACCCAAAGTGGTGAATTGTACTCTCATGCATCTGTTTGTTTAAAAAATACATGTCCAAAATATCCATATATCCCTGTAGTCCAATCAAATAAAACGTCCAATTTTATTTGGTGTTTTTCATTTTCTAGGCTTTTGACTGGGTCAGAATTTTTCTGGCGAGAAAATAAGGGTCACTTGAATTCACCTTGAAATGCCAATAGGGATAAATATGTGGTCAGCCCAAATCGTTCGTTGAAATTCAAGTTCTTCATGGATTTGACAAAATTACAGATCTTGATCAATTTTAATTAACCAATCCTGGAAAATTTTGGGAGACAAAAAAAAATCACTCGCTTTGTTGGCGCGGGATTACAGGCTGAATTTTTGAATTAAATTGTTGACACTAAATTTATG